CTTTGACGATATGGTGGAGCTAACTAGGAAGCCACGGTGAGGACCTGAAAGAAGATCTAAACTTGGAGGGGCAGGCTATCATTGAGCTGGTGAAAAGGGGGTTTAGGATTCCCCAAAAATCCTTAAAGGCTTTTCAAACTCACCAAAATCTGGTGAGTGTATTTGATGTTGGTGTGCACGGGTGAAGGTGGAAGGTTATAAACATCTTTGGAATCTTCAGTTATCTTCACAAGGGACTTTATGGGTTTTTTCTGAACATTTTTTTATATATACATGCACTATTTAATATGGGACATTTATATTGTGTGATTTACTAATATTTGTATTTAGGTCTATGTTGCGCTGTTTATCTATATATTTTACTGTTTGTGTTTTTACACATTTTTTGCACAGCAGCAATTTAGAAGGGTGATTTTATTGATTTTGATTGGCGCAGGAATATTTTTCTTTTGTTATCAGTACTATATTGTTGATTGCCAAAAATGTAAAGCCGAAATGAAATTTCAGGCCAAATGCTGAAAAACACATCTGGGTACAACAAAATAGTAAAGGTTTCTCACCTTTTGTTTTTGTGATAATGTTTCCATCAGCCCCAGCAGAAAACTATGCCGCTGAGAAGAGCCACTGCACTCCATGTTAGGCTCCCCATACACATTGTACAATCTGATTTTCAACTCTCTATACAATTTCTATCTCATTAGGCAGGTCCATCCACAACATAGTTGTTGGTATATCTAAAGGGGATTGTAAAGTCATATTGTAATGCGTGTGTTGAGTGTAGAGATATCTCTGCAGCAGTTTGAGCTCTGCAGTCACTTTGCAGAAGTTGCTTTCTTATTCCAGGTCACAATCCTGCGCAATGTCCTTTTGTCTCTTTTGGTCAGTTGACCACGTCTTTAATATCACCTGTCAAACACACTCAGATCACATTTCAGAGTAGACTCGCTATCTACGGGTTACTGACCCCCTCTCTATGTCTTTTGGACCAAGACACCTATTGCTTTCCTCTACTCTATTGTTCCTTAAGATAGTGTACTTGGGTGAAAAAAAAAAAAAAACCTCAAAAAATTGTCATAAAACCCCACCTGGCCTAAGAAGTCCTGTGGTTGAGGCAAATACCTGTGTTTGTCTTTAAACTAATTTCTGTGAAGCTCCTTGGTTTCTAGATACAGAAACATGTACATAGAACCTCTACTGTTTTTAAAGTGGAATTAAACCCCCAAAAACATAATTTACCAGCAGGTGGAGTCTTTTGGTAGACTAGATTTTTTTTTTTTTTTTAAGTTTCTTCTCCCAACAAAAGTTTATTACCTGCTATCAATTCTATAAAATCTGTCCAGATGCCAGAAATAGTGCAGAGTGCCAGGATAATATAATTCTATTGTGCATGCACTGGGATCCCATCATCAGAGCTTGACTAATGGGCGAAGTAAGAAGATGGTAGACTCAGAAGAAGAGGAGGAAAACATGGTGCTGTCAGGACTGGCTGAAACCTGGGCTATTCTGAGAGGCAAAACTCCTACATTTCTGGGCAGTGCTGCTCTCATCACAAATTCGTTTTGGCTAGTTACTGTTGTAGGCTGCCTCTAAGAGGAATGTGCAGGAGGCAGGTAGGGGCAAGCTTACTTCATCACTGTTGGGAAGAGCTAAGTCTTTGCCTGGCAAAACAGTCTGGGACTTGGCTATGACATAAAGACGTGGGAAGCTAATGCGATTATATGTACCTTTAGGTGCCTGCACAATATACTTGCGGTATTTTTTTTTTTTTCTGTATGACAGTCACTTTAATCTACTAATGCTAAATCTGCTTCGCATGAAAAATTACATTTTTCTTTAAATAAATGAGCCTGATTCACTTGAAATCAATTCCAATCTATTTTGCTCTTTCTTGCATATGCCCTGTATAACGTGTTAGCTGGAAATTTGGCATGTAGTAAGGGTCTGAGAAGAGAAGATTGTTAGGCTTTCAATATGGGAATCATTATAGTATATACCCCAGCGCATTCCCTCAGCTTGCATGAGTTTACTAAAGATTAATATTTTGTAGGAAGCTGTAGCCGGCTAACGTCCAGAATTTAATCAAGATTTGTTGAATGAAAATATTTGCGTTGGCAATGACAAGGAGAAGCTTTACGTCTCCCATTTTCTTCTGTAGAGGCCTCTCATAGTATTTGTGGGCTTATATGGTCACCTGTTGAACATCATGTATGGAAATCTCAGGCCCGTAGCTCCTGGTTATTTTCTGCAAATAAATCTGCGTGAGAAAAATAAAAGCCTGATCTGTACATACATTCCTGTGTCATAGGTTCTAAAGTCTGTGTCTATTAGGAATACTGAATCACAAATACATTTTCTATAAGTTGATGTGAACTGAGTAGAGTTAGAACCTCTGTCAGGTATTTATGGCTGTCGGTGTCTGTCGCTTTTGGAGATATTTCATGTCACTTGCTGTGACTATGAAAGACTCTCTCCTGAACAGAAAGTGAGCTGAGTTCTCTCTAGCACTAATGCAAACCGTGAGAACCACTACACGGTTTTTATTCCATTCTTCTTTGCTGTACTTATGAGCCCCTCATTCCACTTATTTCTTTTCATGGTGTTGCTGGGATAGCACATTGGAACTGGGGGGTCCACAATTTGAGTCCCATTTAGGACTGCATGGAGTTTGCATGCTCTACCTGTGTTTGCTTGGGTTTCCTCTGGGTTCTCTGGTTTCCTGACAAACTGTAGTAGTAGGATAATTTGCTCCTGTCTAAAATTGATCCTAGTATGATACTCTACTGAGCATGCCAAGATGGATGCCTGGCCATCTACCCCAACAACAGATAAAGCACATTGAGTGTCCAGCGAGTTATTTATAAGCGCAATAGAAATATAACTTAATTAAAATTATTGAAATAAAGTGAGAGGAAATGTCTCCAGTAACACCAATAAAACCTGATAAGTTCCAAGTATTCCTTTCTCCGTTTAAATGTATCTAGAATCTCTGTCACTTCCCCTCCCAAAAAAACCCCAAAACATTTAAGGCATTGTACATGCAATAGACATTGTTCTTGCAAGTCAGTGAACATATTTATTTGAGCTTTCCTGACTCAAATGATATCTTCAAAATTTGTGTTTACAAGAGGTATGCTGCCTGGAAAATTGTAGGTTGATCATGTTTCATTATCTGATATACCTCTTTCTTTTTATAATACTCCTGTTTTTTTTTATATGTGGCATTAGCTAGTATTGTTGTTTCAGTAATACTTGTTTATTCATATATAAAGGCCACAATTATGTAGAGGAGATAATACAGCAACTTTAAATTGGTATAGGAGAGATGATAGTAAACTCATGCTTTGTTCTCCTGCGCTGAATGTAATTGGTTGTATAACCTGTTTGAGACATGAAACATTTAATAAAAAAAGTTATGTTTCACAGCTAATATTTAATTTAATGTAATCATGGTTGTTCTCCTCTAGATTAGAATGTATGATTGTGTTGGTGATTTAATTTATGTTTTTTTGGTTTACTTTCTAGGTGCTGTGTTACTGGCGAACATACAAGGTTTGGCAGTTAATGTGGACCCACTGCTGTACACATGGTTTCTTTACCAGCCTCAGAGAAAAGGGGACAGACAGACCCAACAGGTAATCATCTCTAATGGGATAATCATTCCTCATAATCATCTGATACACTGTAGAACTTGTCTGTTACTGTATCTTTAAATCTGAACAGGAATTCAACCTTTGTGTAACCTGCTGGCTTACTATGAGTTAACTCCAACGAGGTGCATACCACGTCATGGATTTATCCCTCTTATTTACAAGTGACCGTTTTACTGAGTGCTGGGAACACAGCAATTGCTCTACTGTGTTCTGAAAAGAAATACTCTGCCTTCTCACACACAGCAATTGTGTCCACCCCTCCTCTCTGTTGTTCATTCACAAAAGGTTTTGTATTTTGTGAATCAGTTCACATAATACAAAGTGCCCTGCGATTGGGCAGGTGGAGGGTAGGGGTGGGTACAGCAACTTCATGCGACTCTGCAGCTGTAGAATCCAAGTCTTAAAGGTCCATTGTCAGAGCGCCATAATAATAGTGATAGCTATGCTCCCGGCGCTCAGTAATCATGTAAACTGTAAATTTAAAGAGGTAAGTCCAACAGGTGGCATGCACTTGGTTGTTTCTAACCCATAGTATTCTAGCACATTTTCAAACTGGCTGAATTCTTGGAGTTCAGCTTTAATGAGCCATCAGTTTAGTCCTTTGAGCCAAGCTATGTTAAAGCTGGACTCCAGACAGGCCTATGAGGCACAAATAATGCAGCTCCAAATTTATTATGAGGTTATTAAATGTACTTTGTTTTTTAATGCAACTGCCTGAATTTGACTTGAAGTCCCCTGTACAGCAGATTTCAGACTGGAAGTGGATGAACCAACACCAGTAGCTGGTCAGCAATGCTCTAATTTTTACCTAATTGCAGCAGTAGAAATCAGGTCTCCTGTCCTGCTAAGCAGGGCTGTGCTGCATGGTACAACTGTGCTAATCTTAACCACTTGCCCTCCAGAGAATTTACCCCCCTTCCTGACCAGGCCATTTTTTGCATTACGGCGTTGCTTTACTTTCACTGACAATTGCGCGGTCATGCAATGCTGCACCCAAATTAAGTTTATTTCCTTTTTTCCCATGGATAGAGCTTTCTTTCTGTGGTATTTGATTGCCTGTGCATTTTTTGTTTTTTTGCGCTATAGAAAAAAAAAAAAAAGACCGACAAGTTTGAGAAAAAAACAATATTTTTTACTTTTTTCCTGTTAAACATGTCCAGTAAAAAAATTTTAAAAATCAAATTTTATCATAAATGTAGGCCAAAATGTATTCTGCGACATGTCTTTGCTAAATAAAATCCCAATACGTGTAAATTAATTGTTTACGTGAAAGTTATAGTGTTTACAATGGCATTATAGATACTGGGCTTTTTTTCTTTTTCTACTCTTAATGGCGGTGATAAGCGACTTATAGCGGGACTGCGGTAGGCATTCTGACACTGGGGGGAACTGATTTGGTGTCACTGACATCCCCAGTGACACCAATACAGTGATCAGTGCTAATAAAAAGCACTGACACTGTACTATTGGCAATGGGCAGGAAGCATTTAACATGTGGGGTGATCAAAGGGTTAACTGTGTGTTGTTTTTTGCGCTACAGAAAAAAACAACACACAATGCCTTTTTACATTGTGTCTTGTGTTTGTGCTTCACTGTAAGCACACTGCTTTGCATGGCTGTACTGTGCATTGTGCAGGAGCTGACAGGGAGGAGAACTGTTTTGTTTACTAACAGTTCTCCCCCCTGTCGGAGATCCTCGGCAATCACCGGGCGCCAGTGAGTAATCACCAGCCCAGACCCGGTGATTGACGACACCAAACGGTGGCGCAGGTAGGGGGTGCACATGCCTTGTGCATGGGTAGGGGGCGCGCTTGCCTCGTGCGTGCCCCCTACCCGGAAATGCAAAATCAAGTATTTCTGCTATGGGGCGGAGTTAAAGCGGTTAAGCTGGCCATAGATGGTTTGAATCTCAGCGGGTTCAGCACGAACCAGCCAAGATTCTATCCATCTATGGTCAAGCTGGTTGTATCCAAGTTGATCCATTGTTCGATGTGAATATAACCAGCCTGTCTGATTTTTTTACATGTGATAACTGCTGGCAGCTCTAGCTACTAGCAGTAATCATTGTGTCCTGCTGGCCGGGAAGAGTCAACTGACAATATTGATAGGGGAATCAAGCGATTTTATTTCCTTACACCCATGGTGGAAGGAATTAAAATCACATAGTGTATGGCCTGCTTTTGTACTGAATTGACAAAGATACAAAATCAAAATATTCAATGCCTAGTACACAGAATAAAAACATCGGCCACAAAATAACGCTTTCAAAGTGATCGTCTGATAATCTGATCGTTAGTACCCAGCTTTCAAGAGCTGATCATGACAGTTCATGTGAAATTATCCGAAGGGAAAAACGTAAAAAAAATATTTTCGTATGACACCAGAACGCATTATTTTCATTTAATCAGTACAGTATTCATCTGAAAAAGACGGAAGACCAAGACCACACATGCTCGGAAATGAAAGAGTACAATACAATACATTACATCACTTGTATTCTGTTGTACGAGAATTTTTGCAACATTAACTCTTCATTTTTGATATGAGACTAGCATGCAAAAAAAAGGACAATCTATTGTCCGATATTCTTATTGTGTGTACGAGGCTTAAAACAGTTCCATATACAGTAGTTTATCTGTGTATTTAGTGGCTTGCCTGGACTTCAGCTTTAACATTCAGAAGGTCTCTGGTATTGAAACATAACTTTTTAGTTTTAAAGTGTAAAGAACCAACACATATTATGTATCTAGAAATGATTCCATGATACTAGTTTTGGCAGAAGAACAAAAGTCAGTGAAGCCCAGTTTTCCCTTTTGTTGTATGTGTTATGAGAATTGTCTGCTGGATATCAGTCGGAATACACTTGTGTTCACATGCTACCGATCATCCTTGTGCTCGTGTTTTTATTTCATGTTCACACTTTTTCTGTGATGAGGTGCTGGGGAGAGAATAAACCAGTTGTCTGAATTTAACATTTATTCCTGCTTATTGTTAACCAAGTATATACTTAATAGAACGCAGATCGGTAAGCTTGCAGTTTTGCTTTTTTCTCCAAACCCGCTGAAGGCCCAGGGCCAAGAAGACCAGGGGGCCTGGCAAGAAACACTGCTGTAAAAGGCCTAGGTACTCTTGAGAAGAAGACAGAACCAGGTTCAATCTCTCCTAATTTACTGGTCCTTCTGTAGTCACATATATGGAGTTATTAACTTTCTTCTTGATGTTCTCTCTATGTCAACCTTCCCTAAGGGCCGCTGTGGCCCCCGGCAAAACCCAAGTTTCCTGATTTTGCTGCAAACACATATGCTCCCTATGTCATGCTATAAATGCAGTCCTCCATGCCTGAATTCCAGTGGAAAATTGGGAGGTGTGTAGAATTCTGAAGCTGAAATTTGGTACCAAGTGTTTTGCATATTACAGGTATGCTTTAAAGCAAATCTTGCGTGTCATTGTTAGAATATTGTATTGTTGCCCAGTTGGCTTTGTAGAAGGAAAAGACTAGTAATATTACTTCTGTTACTTTCTGCTGTAAAGGGCCTGGCCATGCACACTTCAGCTTGTAACTTTTATTGTGGCATTGCCAATTCTGATCAGATACTATAGCCCATATCCTAGAAATTACCTAGTGTGCAGGCCATGTGATATTATGTCAGCAGCTGCCCACCTTCTCATTCCAAAGTTATCTTTTCCCAAACACCTTCACCCCCACCATTTACACCACAACTTCATGCAGAAGTCTAGTCACCTGAAGGTGACTAAAGCTTATTCCACATTGCTATGGTGAATTCATATGCATATTTATTTTCAGTGTGCTCTCAACTATGTTGATGAAGGTTATAAGACAACTGCCTCTTTTATTTAATGCAGGATGTCACAACACAAAGTTCATATATGTGCATTGTAGTGTATGTGTGCTGGGAAGCATTCAAAATGCTGAGCAGACCTTTTTGTTTAGGGACTGTCTTGACTGTTCCTGCTGTCTGAAATCACTTAGATTGGTCATGTCTTGCTGCTCTTGTAGGTCTGAGACCTACCGAAGAGGGAAAGCAAAGAATTATTTTCTCCCATCATCCAGGCCAAACTGCATATTTAGCTAAATTTTAAAACATCCTTTTGAGGAGAACTTCCCTCAGCTGTTTACGGTTTAAAGCTCTGCAGTTAAATTAAAGTTAAGTTAAAGTGGAACTGCACTGCATCTGAGTACCATAAACCAAAAATGTTATATAATTCATTTTTAATATTCAAAACAAACTCCTCCATCCATTCATCTCTCCATGCTTTATTTTGCAGAGAAATCATTTAGAAAAATACCTCCTGGCGTTTCTGGCAATGGCCATCTTGAGTAAAGGCAGATGGTTCATATAGCAGTTTCTTCCTGGAATCCATATGTCCTTATCCTGAAGACTCCTGGGATGTATAACATAATTTGCCTAGGCATAGAAATCAGGAAGTAAATGAAGCAATTGAGTACTGACGTGATACTTTTTTTATTTGCACTAACATACAATTTTGAGGACAAGCTTTCGGGGTATGTTCCCTTCTTCAAGGTCCAGGCAGTACTACTGCACAAAGTTTTAGCAGAATGTTAGAAAAGGGGACATACCCCGAAAGCTTGTCCTCAAAATTGTATGTTAGTGCAAATAAAAAAAGTATCACGGCAGTACTCAGTTGTTTCTGTCGCAAGTGCACTAATACAGCTATAATCACCTGAAGTAAATGAATAATGCTAAAAATAAAAAAAAAAGGTTAAAACCAGTAAATATGATATACTTTCCTATCTGTTTACTAATGCTAGCAGCATAAGATTAGTAATAGTCCATGATAATTGAAAGAGTGAAGTTGCGCTTTAAGCAGTGTCAATTTTTCTCAACTAATAATTTTTTTTTTTATAAAAAACTTATGACTGAAACACACTTTTGCAATACAGTGTGTTGCGTAACTGTTACTGGAACGCAAGTTAACAAATATAACATGCGTTGGCACACTGCAGTGCCATTCAGTTTGAAAGGTACCACAATGGATTATGCAAACGGGGGTCTGATACACATGGGTTGCAAGAACAACAAAATATGAATGGGCCCTTAAGGAAAAAGCATTATTACATGTAAAAATATAAAAGAAAAAAAAATATTCTTGCATTTCACAGAGCTATTCCCAGCAGCTTGCAGTCCTCAGCCATCATTTCTATAATTCAGTTTTTAACTTATGGACAGCAGTGACTGTCAATCAAAAAGAAATGCTGAGAGGCAGACATTGCTGTCCCTTTTCTGTGTGAAAGAGTATCCCTGAAACCCTTTATATGTACAGTTGTGTTCAAAATAATAGCAGTCAGACGTCACTAACCTGATCAATCACTGTTTTTGATAGAAATTATATTTCTACATGGCAAATAATTTACTAGCAGGTGTAGTAGAGTAATAGAAATCCAACAGACCCAACAGTCATGACATGCATGCTGCTGATTCCGTGTAATTGAATCACTAATTGAAAGGGGCATGTTCAAAATAATAGCAGTGTGGAGTTCTATTAGTGAGGTCATTCATTCTTTGAAAAACAGGTGGCAATTATTGCCCTTATTTAAGGAAGGAAGGCAGCAAATGTTGTACATGCTGGTTACAGTGCATTTCTCTCTGAAATTCTGAGGAAAATGGGTCGTTCCAGACATTGTTCAGAAGAACAGCGTACCTTAATTAAAAAGTTGATTGGAGAGGGGAAAACAAATAAAGAAGTGCAGAAAATGATAGGCTGCTCAGCTAAAATGATCGCAAATGCTTTAAATTGGCAACCAAAACCTGAAAGACATGGAAGAAAGTGAAAAACTACCATTCGAATGGATAGAAGAATAGCCAAAATGGCAAGGACTCAGCCAACAATCAGCTCCAGCTCCAAAGAAGGTGTAAAGTTACCTGTGAGTACTGTTACAATTAGAAGACGCCTATGTGAAGCCAAGCTATCTGCAAGAAGCCCCCGCAAAGTCCCACTGTTGAAAAAAAGACGTGCTGAAGAGGTTACAATTTGCCGAAGAGCACATTGACTGGCCTAAAGAGAAATGGCGCAACATTTTGTGGACTGATGAAAGTAAGATTGTTCTTTTTGGGTCTAGTGGTCAGAGACAGTTTGTCAGATGACCACCAAACACTGAATTCAAGCCACAGTACACTGTGAAGACAGTGAAGCATGGTTGCGCAAGCATCATGATATGGGGATGTTTTTTCTCATACTACGGTGTTGGGCCTATTTATCACATACCAGGGATCATGGATCAGTTTGAATACATCAGAATACTTGAAGAGGTCATGCTGCCTTATGCTGAAGAGGAAATGCCCTTGAAAAGTGTATTCCAACAAGACAACGACCACAAACACAGCAGTAAACGTGCAAGATCTTGATTCCAGACCTACAAGATTGACGTTATGGAGTGGCCAGCCCAATCCCCGGATCTTAATCCAATAGAAAACTTGTGGGGTGACATAAAAAAATGCAGTTTCTGAGGCAAAACCAAGAAATAGAGAAGAACTGTGGAATGCAGTCCAGTCATCCTGGGCTGGAATACCTGTTCACAGGTGCCAGATGTTGGTTGACTCCATGCAACACAGATGTACAGCAGTTCTCAGAAACAGTGCTTATACAACTAAATATTAATTAAGTGATTCAAAGGAAAGCAAAATCTTCAAACATTTTTCAGTTTATATAGTGAATGTTTGAGTTTGTAAAGAAGAATACAAACACTGCTATTTTTTTGAACAGTCTAATATTCACTTTTCTTCAATTTTTTTTAGAGGAACAACACAAGTTTGATATACAGTCAGGTCCATAAATATTGGGACATCGACACAATTCTAACATTTTTGGC